AAAAGACTTTCAAGACTTTAAGTTGAAGATCTGACAAAACGAAGAATTCATGGAGGTAGGGAACAAAAGGGATTCTGGTACAATCTCTAGCTCAGACAAGAACCAGCCAGCATTACTATCAAACTACAAAATGAAATAAAACAAAAAAAAAATTAGGTGAACTCATTGAACACCACAAACCTGCAGCTCAAATGGAAGGGCAAAAAGCTGTGAAGGAGGTGGAAATGGATGGATGGATAAGGGAATAGTCACTTGACCTGTAAAGGTGGGAATTTCTTAAAGGCAATGTGACAATTTCTACCCAATTCAAAATTAGCTGAGGCGCTAAAATAGGGCTGTACACACACATCTAAGACAGTTTGTCCGAAATGTCTAAATGCAACATGGTCCGATTGAGATAACCACGTGTAGAGCTGGATAAACACAGCAGGCCAGGCAGCATCAGAGGAGCAGGAAAGCTGACGTTTCGGGTCTGGACCCTTCTTCAGAAATGGGGGAGGGGAAGGGGTCTCCGAAAGAAATAGAGAGAGGGGGAGGCGATAACAGAAGGTGGATAGAGGAGCAGATAGGCAGAGAGAAGATGGCCAGGTCAAGGAGGCGGGGTTGAAGCCAGTCAAGGTGAGTGTAGGTAGGGAGTTGGGATGGGGGTTGGTCAGTGAGGAGGGAGGGGTGGGTAGGTGGGAGGGAAGACGGACAGGTCAAGGAGGCGGGGATGAAATGGGCTGGTCTTGGGATGAGGTCAGGGGTGGGGAGATTTTGAAGCTTGTGAAGTCCACACTGACACCATTGGGCTGCAGGGTTCCCAAGCGGAACATGAGGTGCTGTTCCTCCAGCCTTCGGGTGGCATCATTGTAGCACTGGAGGAGGCCCAAGATGGACATGCCGTCCAGGGAGTGGGAGGGGGAAGTTGAAGTGGTTCGTGACTGAGAGGTGTTGTCGTTTGTCACGAACCAAGCATAGGTGCCCCACAAAGCGGACTCCATGCCTCTGCTTGGTTTCCCCAATGTAGAGGAGGCCATATCAGGAACAGCGGATACAGTATACCACATTAGCAGATGTGCAGGTGAACATCTGTTTGATGTGCAAGGTCTTCTCGGGGCCTGGGATGGAGGTGAGGGGGGAGCGTAGGGGCAGGTGTAGTACTTCCTGCGGTTGCAGGGAAAAGTGCCAGGGGTAGTGGGGCTAGTCGGGAGTGTGGAGCGGACGAGGGAGTCATGGACAGAGCAGTCCCTCCGGAAGGCAGATAAGGGTGGGGAGGGAATTTCTGAAGAAGGGTCCAGACCCGAAACGTCAGCTTTCCTGCTCCTCTGATGCTGCCTGGTCTGCTGTGTTCATCCAGTTCTACACCCTGTTATCTCAGGCTGCAGCATCAGCAGTTCCTACTATCTCATGGTCCGATTGATGCGGGTTGGGGCATGGAGTGGATATGGGGACTTTTCCTAAAATGCAAAATTGAAAAATACATTTTTATGCACAAATTTCAACTGTAATTATCAGAGGCAGCCATGCCATAAAATTTGAATACCTAGGTCAAAATCAGATGGGTGCCCATTAATTTTAAGTGAACAGCAAAATGGGAAGACAAATAACTAAATGAGAAAAATTCCTATCTTTAGGGTTATCTAAATTCTTTTAGCCATGCACTTTCTATACACTGGTGTAGTAGAACTATACTGATAGGTTCTGGGAAACCAACAGTTATAATAATCCCACATACCATAGATGCATACCAGTAGCAGTGAACTGTTTTATTTTACATGGCCCACTCAATATTAAAAAAACAAGAATTCAGCTACTGGAATGATAGAGGTAGTTTTAGAAACAAATCACAGGCAATATACTGAGATAACAAGGTGTAGAGCTGGATGAACACAACAGGCCAAGCAGCATCAGAGGAGCAGGAAAGCTGACGTTTCGGGTCTGAACCCTTCTTCAGAAATACTAAAATTACACAGCTCAACATCAAATACTGATCTATATATCGAAGGCACTGATCAAGGTTTCCTCCTTTTTGACATGGCATCAAGAATTACCAGGAGACCTCTACATCATCAATTGTGTGCATGCCCTTTTAAGTTTTTGTGATATTTTGCTCAATTATCCACCTACTGTTTTGGCCTCAGTGTAATTCTCCAGAATGGAGTACCTGGGAGGAATTAATATTGGTGATGCAAGTCCCAACAGCAGACCTCCCACATGGGAAGAATTATAGCTTGGGCAGAAGCGCCTGTTAAATGCACTGACTACCCAGCTGCTTTGTGAATGAGGTTGAGGAGCGAGGCCCATCCAGTCAAGCATTGGTTTGGAACGCAAGGCAGAAATCCTGGCATCCGCTGATGGTAGCACAAGTGCTGACACTTCAAAAATGGTAGCCAAACGGGCGTGGAGGTAGACGTTCCATAGGTTTCACTGCTTTTGTGCTTGTAGCTGAGAGAATCTGAAATAGAGCTCAGAACATCAGCCATCTGCTCCAAGCCAGAAAGAGGTGGATCCATTCTTGGTGACAACAGCATCCATAATTATGAAGTGCTTTGAGAGGTTAGTCATAGCTCACATGAACTCTAGCCTACCAGGCTGCCTTGATCCTTTGCAATTTTCCCTACCAGCGCAACAGATCCATGACAGATGCTATTTCCCTGGCCCTACACTCATCCTTGGAACATCCGGATAACAAGGATACCTACATCAAGGTCCTATTTATTGACTACAGTCTACCTTCAACACCATAATTCCAAACAAGCTCATCTCCAAACTCCGAGACCTAGGGTCCCCACTCTGTAACTGGATCCTCAGCTTCTTGATCCATGGACCATAATCTATAAGAATAGGCGACAACGCCACCCCCATGATAATCCTCAACACTGACACCGCACAAGGCGGAGTACTCAGCCCCCTGCCATATTCTGTATACGTTCATGACTGTGTGGCCATATTCCACCTCAACTCCATTTACAAGTTTGCTGACCGACACTATAGTTGTAGGCTGGATCACAAACGATGATGAGACAGAGTTCAGGAAAGAGATTGAGAGCATAGCAGCATGATGTAAAAACAACAATCTCCCCATCAAGATCAGCAAAACGAAAGCGCTGGTCATTGGCTTCGGGAAGTGGAATGGAGGGCACATCTCTCTCACTAAACCCAGTGTTCCCCATAATTTCTGCTACGTTATTCGTGTTCTCTTTTGTGAAGACAAAAGCAAAGTATGAATTTAGTTAGTTCGCCAGCCATTTAGGCGCTCCCCATTATAAATTCCCCTGTTTCTGACTGTAAGGGACCTACATTTTTCTCTTTACCTATCTACAGAAACTTCTCTGGTCCGTTCTTATCCTCTGCAGGTTTACTCTCATACTCTATTTTCCCTTTATTAATCAATCCCATTGTCCTCTTTCACGGAATTCTAAACTGTTCCCATTTGATATTTTCATAGCAGTTTGCTACAACAGTGGACTGCCTGACTACTTCAGACGGCAGCACTCCATTGCTGTGGGTCTAAGATTACTTGAAAGCCAGAACAGATGAGAATGGCAGATTTCATTCCCTGAAGAGCATAGTGGAACCAAATTGGTTTTTAATGACATGATCACCATTACTGATAATAGCTTTATTTAATTCTAGATTTACATAATTAACTCAATTTCAATTCCCCAGTTAGTAAGGTGGGACTTGGAACTCATGTATCCAGATCATTAATCCATACCTCTGTGTTATAGTAATACAACCATTATGCTACAGTGCTACATGACTTATATACTTAAACAATAGCAAGCTAAAGTTGTATTAACAGAGATGAGGGTTTTTTTTTGTATTTTATCAGCTAATTCCCATTAATTGTGATGTTCTGATGCAGGATCAAAGACAGATTTATCCTTCCATACCTTGCAAATCATCCAGCTTTTTTCATTGAAACTTCTGACATTTGCAGCAATACAGCGACATGGGAACCAGTGTAATCACACAAAGTGGCATTCTTTAACTTGTGAATGTGTCATCAGGCTACTTAAGGAAGAACAGCTCTTAAAAGAACTGACTTGGAATTGAGTTATTTATATAGCAGAAATAGTGGACATGACTGAGAATCATGACTGATAGGCAAGAGAAAAGACTATAGGCTTTGAAATTGTAGTATCCCAGCCAAGCCTGGCAGGGGATTGTAGTTCAGTCCACTTGCTCAGTGGCACAGCTGCACAATACCTTACCCGACTGACCCCAAGAATATAACATCAAGAAAACAGACCAATAATCTAAACTGTCAAGCTTCTGAGGTTGCACCTGCTTTCGACCCACTCAAACAGCTTTTCTAATATACATCCAAACTAGTGTAATAGCTGGTTTCAGGTGTCTACTATCCTTTCCTCTTACAATCTGTGTAAGTTTATTGTTAGTTTCTTCTAAAGTTCGCAGCCCTCAATGCTGACCAAAAAGGTACCTGAGTGAACTACTTCTAGATTTATGCCTAAGCTGTGCTAAATAGCAATAAGAAAGTGTAATAGGAGCAAAAGATTAGATATATTTAGTTTGACCTCCAATCAGATGTTTTCTACTTGTGAGTCGCTACTACTCCCACTTCAATTCCCCCATGAAAGATCAGGGACCCACCATCCAGATAGTCTAGTGATACATAGCACAACTCCACTGATCAACAACACTGCCCTTTGCCAACTGCTTTAAAAAAATGTTGCAAATCAATCCAAAAAATGGTCTGTACACTAATGTAACATGCCTTACACCATCATTTTACCTTTATTAATGAACAACAGCATGGCTGGAAAGCAACCTCTTAACACTCAACTTAACTGAAGATATAAGATTTATGTGATTCAAAGCTGTATAATTCAGCAAAAATGAACCAAATCAACTGCAGTCAAAATTACCATACGTGCTAATCCAGTAATTTCTTACAACATAAATATTTCACTCAATGACTGGAAAATAGAGAGTGCAAATAATTACTTAAATAATTCTAATGCATTAATTCTCGATATCAGATTCTTTTTGGCCTCTTTTTAAGGTATTAATGGGGCAAACAATGTACTGCCTTCTCATACTTCACTCATGGCCACAGAAAATCAATCAGTACTTAGACTTTATGTGACTTCAGAAGGGATTATAGCTAAGCCTCACCACTACCTCAGCTGACATCTGAACACATGGGCACTTTCACTTGAGCTTTAACAGTTAGTAATCAGGATGGCTTTTCATTTCTAAAGCCAGGGATAACGTAGCTGTTACTGCATTCTAATTTCTGTTTCAGAAGAGAGAAACAAACTCCGTTTACATTAGGACCCCAAATACTTTTATCAAGAATTCCATTAAATGCACATTCCACGGATTTCCCAAACTGCATTTCTATAAGCAAACAAAATTCAGAGTCATAAACATTCTTTGCTGTTTCATGTTCTATTTCTTTTCAGCAAAGCAGGACAAGTTGAGGAAAGTAGAACATAAAAATGATTTACATTTATACAAATGTACAAATATTGCTTAAAATAATACATTAGCATTTGAGATGAACACAAAATACAGAAGTCATCAGAATCGCTGTTGAGCAAATCTTTAATTTCGAAAAAGACTAAAAAGTGCATAAGTTTTTCATTCGTTAGAAGTTAGATGTGACACAGCACTGTCAAAACGTAGAACGTAGATTCTGGAGTGAGGAGAGGAGTGTTTATTTTTCCAAAAATAACTGAGAAGCATTTGTTGTTAATATTTACAGTATTTTCCCTTCCAGTTTTGTTCTCCAACGTCTCCATATCAATGCTTGCAATGAGAAGATCTAAGGGGTGTAACAGCAGTTAGGACTAACTAGAAATATGATGGCAGTTTTTCTCCCCTCCACATTTAGGCACTTCAGACCATTTAAAAAAAAAACTATGTCAGTTATGTCTCCATTATATTGTATTTTTATTTCAGTAAGTGTTTCATACTCCCATATCTCACACTTTCATATTTCGACTCAGAAAGTGACAAGTTCAAGTCACTGTATCTGTTGACAGTCACTGCATTGATGCACTTTGAAGTTGACCCTTCAGCTTCATAGAATCATAGAATCCATACAGTGTGGAAACAGGCCCTTCAGCCCAACAAGTCCACACCGAACCTCAGAGCATCCCACCCAGACCCATCCCCCTATAACGCACCTAATCTACACATCCCTGAACACTACGAGCAATTTATTTTTGAGACCTGTTGTGAGAAAAGGTTGACAACTACTGTTCAGTGACGGAACTGGGAGAGAAACAATTTTAGCAATACTCACAATTTTAACTGTAGAAAAACTAAAAACTGTAAGTTGCTGTTTCTAAGTACTTGTACTACCTTGCCATCGTCTCCTGAAGGCACTAATGTAGAAGTGCGGGTTCACGGGTGCCAACTGTTCTCCAGTACTTAGATATGGAAGCATAATTCATATGTGAACCTAAATTATGATTACTGGTTGCATATTTGCCCATTGTAATAACAGATACCCCTGTATCTAGACTGTGGTTTAGTTTTATCCTGTCCCAAAATTCTATTAGTTGTGATTACTTTACCGAACACAGACTTAGCTCCAGGTCAAGCACAATTCTATTGTGCAATTTGAAGATTTGGCAAATACAACAATCAAATCCTGACATTCGAACACAAAAAATTTCTACCAATGCAGTGCCTAGGATTTCAATATTCTTCTTTTACTTCGGAGGGAAGGCACAGAAAAAATGTCAACATGGTACTAAATATAACCTTAAAAGAAATCTGTGACCTTGACTGACCGACTTTAGGCTTCTCTCTGGAACAGGAAGGTTTTAAACATTTTCTGTGTTCAGACAGATTTAGGGTAAAAAGGAACACCAAATTTTAATCAGCCGGAAATTCAGCAGATTAGGCAATAATGTTAGCCAACATCTTCTATTGCTGCAAAAACATAGACATAGACTTAGGGATGGTAATGGTCACAATGACATATAAACAGTCCTGGGAAAACAAATGCATTGCCTCTATCCAGAAATCACACTTTATTTTGTTTAGTAATAATGTTCTATAGGACCTTTCCAAATAAACAAACAAATATCAATTTATTGCAAATAATGAGCAGTTTTTTGTGGCGAATATGCAAACATGTATAACTGAATGGAGGTCATCCCAACTCAATTCAAAATCCTATAGACAGCAAGAAATGGAAGTCAAGACCCAGTCAGGCTAAATTCTACTGGGCCATTGACATTTCCTTCTGGATTGTTAATAAAAACTTCTCATTCACAAGCATATACAGGACTACCTTAAGTACAAAATATGCAGCATAGAAAAATTAATCTCATTCAAACATGATCACAAATATCCAAATTCAATAAATATAGAAAGCAACATGAAGCTGCCACATTCTCCGTATCACTGTTAAATTAAAAGTTGGTTGGTGCCCAATCATCATTATTCAATCATCTTGCTTTTTTTTCCTCTGCATGGTACATAATGTAATACAGAAAGACCTCTATTCGAAGTTACCCTGTTCAATATAGTTTCACTTTAATGTCAGAAAGTTAATAGAGCCCATTATCCTGTTCAGCATTGCAAGATTTGTTTTAATGTTGATTTCTTTCTGAAACTATTGATACTGCATCCGTTTCCTGACCTTTGAGTTGTGCCCTTTCTCCATCCTGAACCTTCAGGCTGTGGCCTCTCCCCAGTGTTTGGCGTACTAGTTACAATCTCCTTCTCCCTCCTCAGCTCACCCATGCTCTACTTACACCTCTGCATGCCCATTCAAGATCCAGATTTGATCCAAAGCTAAGGCTCTGATTTTGTGGGAATGCAAGTACCTATGGCTGAGAGGTGCTGGATCTTTTGTAATCCGTGTTCTTCAAATGATTTTCAAAGCTTCTCCTGCCTTCTCCCAAGCCCTTGGTCATGGTGAGGGTTAAGGAGAGGGAAGGGACAAGTGGGAGCATAAAAAAAATTGCAAAAAGCCTCAGCACATCTGAACAATCAGGACTCTCACTTCCACAACACTGCAGCTCCAGCTTTTGGATTGTGATTGGGAACGTAAGCCACAAGTAGAAGTGGAAGTGGTGAGAGGGGAGGTCAGAGGCCACGATTCAGACTATCAATAAGCAGAAAGGGTCTGGGTCAACCAGGGGGAATGGGAGCAGAAGGCTTAGGAAGCGGGATTGCTGATGAAAAGGAAGGTAATAGAAGTAGCAGGTTATACTTTTATTGTTTGTCTTTTTATACGTTGTTTCATTCACCAACGTAGAAATTAAGTGATGTAAAATATTTAAACTTGGTATAATGATTTAATGTTTTTTCTGATAAAATAGGTCTGACAGAACCCAACTACAACAATGTTTTAGTGAAAGTCAATTTTTGGAACCCCACTCAACTTTAAATGAGGACTTACTGTATTGTTAATATGATGGCATCTGTTGCACCATTCAACAGCCAATTTAAAAATTTTATCCATGATTAATTCCTTAACTTTTGCCCTCCAAATTACTTCCATTCTTTGAGATATTATCCCAATTTAAATAGGTTTACACTCCAACTTTCAGAAAATGATGCAGATTTATGGTCAGTCTTGATTCTTGTTTGCTCTCCAGAAGACAGAATTCATTATTTTGACACGCCTCCCTCTTCCTTAACCTGCTTGTCCAGCTGATAACCTTATGGAGGTTTGTCATGCAAGAAAGCTTGTCCCATTTTCGAACAGAGAACTATTAAACTGGGGGGCTCCAAGTTGAAATGCAATGACCCAGTAAGGTCATTAGTAATTAATCCCAAACTTAGCATCAATATAACAATGCAGATCTGTGCAATGAAAGACTGACATGCAAAATCCTGTGGATGTTTTGTACCCTTGAGACTTACTATTATGATCCTTTGAATAATCAACAAATTGCTTCTTCAATCCCCATTTTCTAGTCTTCAAGTTTTGTCTTCCTCGTGCTGCTCTTTAAAATGTTGTTGAAAGCAAATAATTGATTGGTATTTATGCAACCTTACTGAGCTTAGTCCTATTCTTACCTGAAGTACACACATTTGGAACTTCCACTTTAAATACCAGCGATCAGCAGTTAAAAATCCCCGGGTTTTGTTCCTTCTTCCAATTTAGGTAGGCAAATTGTGAAGGGAATCCAATCAAGAGCAACCACAAAGTTGTTCCCCAGCCAAAGAATAGATGGGGATTGTTTCTGTACTTCTATTACAAGTTGCTTTAGTAAGTGATATTTAGAAGTGAAAGAAATATAAAATGGCATTTTGCACAATAAAATTATCCTTTCAATTCAAATTTGATGTCTAAGCACATGTGAAGACAAATGACAAGATATACCCAATCTTGTTAACATAAACGGATTCAAGATTCCAAATTAGAGAAATCATCAAATGTGCTGCATGGCTTCAATGCTGTCAGAAGCCAAAGCATATAGTGTGGAATGGAGTCTGTAGCAGTCATGAATGTTACTTATATACAAAATGCATTACTTTGAGAGCTTAGTATTTTTTGCATGTTAGAACAAGGCACACAACACTCAATAAATGCAAGGTGCAAATAAAAGCTGAAACTACAATCTGAACAATGCTGTGAACAGGAGGCCTAGGTAAGAAGATAAACCCTCAAAATGCCATACCTCTTCATAAGGAATTTCATCTCTAGAGAAGTCCAAAAACAGAGTCTTTTAAAAAAAAATTGGAAGCACTGAGGCAGTGCTCTTTCAGACTCTCGGGATGTAGTGCAACTGTCTTTCCAGAAATGGCAAAGATCAAATATACAACTGTACACAGGAATTAGCTTCCAGTTTCTCACCAATTCCCAAATGTAAGCACAAAGCAAACATGCTAGTAACCAAATCTGTACACAATATTATTGAAACTAACAATATATTACACAGTGCATACCATCTGCCCACTCATACTCCAACAGAGAGTCAGGCCACCTATCTGAAAGTCCATCTTGTTCAACTGTCCATTTTGAGAATACAAAAAAAATCTTGCATCCTGATTTTGACTGGTCACATTTATGTCTCTGTGGGACAAACCTTGCGGTCTTTGCAGCAGAAATAGTGGACCACAACTCCATTCGGGTAACGAGCGAAAGCACTATAGAAGAAGATAGAAAAAAAAATATAAATAACTAGTAGAATGACCAGCTTAAAAATACCATGAGTAAGCAGAAGAGCAACTTTTCTATAGAATGCAAGATACATCTAATCACCGAAATAGAGCAGAAATCAGGTACAAAATTTGAGGTCCTCTTGAGGGCTTAATTTTGATTTTCCAGGGCCCTTTTCATTCTCATCAGCTCATTTGTTAAGTAATACTATCGTGTAACAACATTACACATTTGTGTTGATGTATATGGTATTTGGACACAGAAGCAGATTTAGAAGAATTCATCAATATCCTAAATAATTATCAACCTATTAAACCTAAAAATACAAGACACAAGGAAAACATTAGTCTTCTAAATACCACATTATTTAAACTGGTACAAGACAATAGGCATAAAAGTTAGCAAAGGTTTTGTTAAAAGTAACTGATATATACTTTGACACACTAAAAACCATCACCCTAAAGTGTGTGTCATCCTGAGTGTTCCTTTGTTAACAGGTTGGAAGACATCTCTCCCCTGCTATACCTGTGAACTCTGCATCTCTAACCCTCTCACCTCCATGTTTCTCCAGTCCCTCTGGCCTCCGTGTCTTTCATTTATCACCTCCATGTCAAAAGGTCAGTGATAGCAGGAGTACAGTATGGTTATGGGAGAAGGAGGTCAACAGTGAGAACTTAGCACTATCCCCACTTTCTCATGCTGGGTCTCTCGATCAGCTACTGATGCTTATGAACAAGGGACAGTAAATCACACACATCCCCATCTCTGCTGGAAGTCTGCACTTGTTTGCTCAACATGGACCAACAATGGAAATTGTCCCTCTCCACCTTGGGTTATACTAGTGGCAGTGGGATAAGGTCCTTAAGTGAGCATTAAGTGCCTACTGAGGCTCTCAATTGGTAGCCAGTAGGAAGATCATCCATGGGAGCTGACATTGCAGTCTTAATCAGGATAGAGGTGGGACGACAGTGAGGCTTCAACCTGCAACCTTTCTGTTTAATAACACCCTGTCAGCAATGAGGAAGGGCACAAAATTCCACCTACTGTATCTACTACATGAATCTCCAACTTGAAATAGATAGTTTGAGAGTCAGTTTGTTAGCTCTGAATTCATTTAAATCCAAAATATAAAGTTACAGATAGCTCAAGGCTCAACTGTTTCCAATGTATTTCACTTGCAACAGACCTAAATTTTGAAGGTTAAATTACTATCTCAATACATCTAGTGCTATGACTCTATATTTGCAGTCATCTTCATAAAGCCATCAGGGTTGCCAAGAGACAATACCAGACTAGAGTCCCAGACTAACCATATGAACACGTCGACTCTGGCAAGTCTTACACAATATAATAGGCTACAACGTGAAATTGAGCAGAACAACAACAATGCATCCCTCCCCGATGAGCTCAACGCATTCTATGTTTATTTTGAATAGAAGGTCAGTGAAATGATGTAACTTGCCCCGAATAGCCTCAGGTGCACCTGTATGCACAGTCACCGCTACAGAGATCCGCCTTCTTGAGAGCGAACCCATGAAAAGCGACTGGCCTGGATGGAGTCTCCAGCCTTGGACTCGGATCCTTTGCAGACCAATCGGTGGGAGTATTCGCAGGCATCTTTAACCTTTCCTTATTGCGATGGGAGGTTCCCATCAGCTTCAAGGAGCCAACTATAATGCTGGTGCCAAAGAAAAAAATCAGGCAATGGGCCTTAATGACTACTGCCTGGTGGCTCTGGAATCCTGTGCTTCAAGAGCTTAGTAAACACACATATCAACTCCCAGATTGCCTTGATCCAAGACAAGTTGCAATAGGTCCCCAGCAGATACCATCACCCTGGCCCTACGCTCAACTGGATAATGAGAACACCTCCGTCAGACTCGTATTTATTGATCTACCTTCAACACCATAATTCCAACTAAACTCATCTCAAAACTTCGAGACCTAGGACTCTGTTCCCTTCTCTGCAATCAGATCCTAGGCTTCCTGACCCGTAGACTGCCAACACTGAAGACAGGTGACAACACCTCCTCCACAATAATCCTCAACACGGTGCTCTGCAAGGCTGCGCAATCAGCTTCCTACTACATACTTACTCCACACGACTGTGTGGTCAAATTCAGCCATAACTCCATTTACAAATTTGCTGATGACACCATAATGGATCAGATCTCAAACAACAACAAGACAGAGTGCAGGAAAGAGATAGAAAGTTTAATGGCATGGTGTAAAGTCACCATTCTCTCCCTCAAATGTCAACAAAATGAAGAAGCTGGTCATCGACTTCAGGAAGCGGAGTGGAAGACACGCTCCTGTCTGTATCAGTGGTGTTGAGGTGGAGATGGTGCAGAGCTTCCAGTATCATCAACAATCTTTTCTGGTCCATCCAGATTGATGCTACAGTCAGGAAAGCATACCAACGCCTCTACCTCCTTGGAATGCTCCACAATGACTCTTACCATTTCTAATAGATGCACTATAGAAAGCATCGTATCCAGATGCACCACAACTTGGTACGGCAACTGCTCTGCCCAAGACTGCAAGAAATTGCAGGTAATTGTGAAAGTAGCCCAGTCCATCATGCAAATCAGCCTTCCTTCCACCAATTCCATCTACATTTCCCACTGCCTTGGGAAAGCAGGCAAAATAATCAAAGATCCCTCCCATGCCAGTAATACTCTCTTCCACACTTTCATTGGGCAGAAGATACAAATGTTTGAAAATATGTACCAAAGATTCAACAACAACTTCTTCCCTGCTGTTATCAGACTTATGAATGGTCCTCTCATATTAGGGTTGATCTTTCTTTGCACTTTCATTGTAGCTGTAACAGTATTCTGCATTCTGTTCTATTATGTACTTATGTAAAGGTATGATTTGTCTGGTTAGCACACAAAACAGTACTTTTCACTGTATCTCGGTCCATATGACAATAATATATCAAATCAACACAAAAGATATTTAACTGTTCCTCCATAACACACATCATAAAAGTAATAAAGCTAATAAATTGTGCTGCTAGAGTCCACCTGTTTGGATTAGTTTGCAATAGTACATCTTTGTTGTGAAGCAATCCAGCACAGTATGAATTCCAGGATTACTATGCATACTGACAATGATGTAACAGAATTCACACCAGATATGGCAAGCCATTTATAAATTAATGAACTCAAGAACAAAGATCCATTTTACAGTATAGCACCAAATATTGCAAATACCAAGTGAAAAAGCAGAAAACAGCAGTTTTTATGCCAATTCTGACATTTAGAAGTCTGAAGCTTTTTCTTTCGTGTTGTTATGTATAGCCGAAGTGGCTCTTTATGGGCATAAATTACATTTAGAAACATAATTATTACTGCTCGTTGTTATTCATAGGTCAAATGGATATAAAACAACAGTTAGTATTTTTGGCAAACACTCCAAACACCATTTTTGCCAATGACTGAATGGAGATCAGATTCTAACAGGTTTGCTATAGGGAGAAATATTTATTGACTGAACCTGTTTCCAATTTTCTTCTTGCAGACTCGACAGATTTTTTCCTCCGTTATGATGCACTTCACCTCTTGATGATAAATTCTCTGCTCCTGGATCTATTAGATTAAAAAAGAAGAGAATGTGCATTCATATGCCATCAAAGTGGTTTACCCAGCCAATGACGTATTTTTGTTGTACAGTCACTGATAGAATAGCCAAATGCTATTTGCCATTTTCTGCATACCATCCACCACACCCAGAGAACTTCCTGTTCTTCAAATAGTGTCACTTACATTTCTACATACACTTGAGGGAACTATTTGTTTTAATATTTTATCTGAAAGATGGCATCATCAACAATACAGTACTCAGTGTTACACTAAAGTGTATCCCTAGATTATGCGATAACAAGGTGTAGAGCTGGATGAACACAGCAGGCCAAGCAGCATCAGAGGAGCAGGAAAGCTGACGTTTCAGGACCTGCATCGGCAGTTTCTACTATCTCTCCCTAGATTATGTCCTCATTTGTTTTTGAGGTTCTTAACTGAAGCTGAAATTGTCATCATTGAAGGTATACCAAATAAAATATGCAAACTGGCACAAAATCTGATAGCCCTTCATAACCTTTTTGAGGCATTCCACTCCCGGACATCCCAGATGTCCTCGTTTTTCAAGGACTGCAACTTCCCCTCCACAGTGGTCGAAAACGCCCTCGACTGTGTCTCTCGCATTTCCTGCAACTCATCCCTCACACCCCCCACCCGCAATAACAACCAAAACAGAATCCCCCTCGTCCTCACATACCACCCCACCAACCTCCAAATCCAACGCATCATCCTCCGACACTTCCGTCATCTGCAATCTGACCCCACTACGAAAGACATTTTTCCCTCCCCACCCTTATCTGCTTTTCGGAGGGACCACTCTCTCCGTGACTCCCTTGTCCGCTCCATACTCCCCACCAGCCCCGGCACTTTTCCCTGCAATCGCAGCAAGTGCTACATCTGCCCCTACACCTGCCCCTACACCTCCCCTCTCAGCCCGATCCCAGGCCCCAAGAAGACTTTCCACATCAAACAGACGTTCATCTGCACATCTGCTAATGTGGCATACTGTATCTGCTGTTCCCGTTGTGGCCTCCTCTACATCGGGGAAACCAAGCAGAGGCTTGGGGACCGCTTTCTGGAACACCTACGCTCGGTTCGCAACAAACAACTACACCTCCCAGTCATGAACCATTTCAACTCCCCCTCCCACTCCTTGGACGACACGTCCATCCTGGGTCTCCTGTATTGCCACAATGATGCCACCCGAAGGCTGCAGGAACAGCATCTCATATTTCACTTGGGAACCCTGCAGCCCAAGGGTATCAATGTGGACTTCACAGGCTTCAAAATCTCCCCTCCCCTGACCACATCCCACAACCAGCCCAGCTCGTCCCCGCCTCCCTAACCATTCCTCCCACCTCAAGCCCCACCCCCATCTCCTACCCACTAACCTCATCCCACCTCCTTGATCTGTCCGTCCTCCCTGGACCGACCTATCCCCTCCCTAACTCCCCACCAACTTTCACCTTTACTGGCTCCAACCCCGCCTCTTTGACCTGTCTGTCTCCTCTCCACCTATCTTCTCCTTTATCCATCTTCTATCCGCCTCCACCCCCTCCCTATTTATTTCAGAATCCCCTTCCACTCCCCCATTTCTGAAGAAGGGTCTCGACCCGAAACGTCAGCTTTCCTGCTCCTCTGATGCTGCTTGGCCTGCTGTGTTCATCCAGCTCTACACCTTGATATGTCAAATAATTAAATTCAGTTTCCTATCTTTTGCTTTATCTAGGGCTTATATATCACACATTAACCTGCTTTCTTACCCCATTCAATTACTTTTCTTGAAATTTTGCATTTATCAATATCAGAGATGTTACTGTCGAAAGGCATAATTTAGTCTTGGGCAGTCGAGACTGAAATTTAAGGTCAAAGCATGACTACTTATTTTTCCATACTCAGCCCTGATTTGTCTCACGCAAAAGAACATTTCAAGGTATCTTCCCCCCAGTGTTCCCAGACAAGCCATTTCGTAGCATCTCTGGATAAGGTTACTAAATTAGGGGCATGTGTGCCATATAGACCAATGCCCAAATAATTTCCCTTAAAATTTTTGGATCTAGAGATTACTGTCTTCCCAAAGTCAGTTCTGAATTTCAATTAGAGTCTCAGAGGTAAACAATCTCAGTGATTAATCCACTGTACGAATCAATTCCTGTTAAAGAATTTGTAATGGGTTAAGAGGTGAGTATAAGTTGCTCCTAGCCATTTAGTAAAAATACTCAGTGTCTATTGGAGTAGGACTGAATGGGAAGTGATTTCATTCATCAGGGCTCTTTAAAGGGCAGAAGTATAAAATTTAGCTAAGCCCGTTGTAAATTGATGCAACCAACAGTGATGGAATTTGCTTTCTTGTCATTGCAATTCTGCATGTAAGAGGAATGGAAAATACTTTTGTTTGTGGAGATCCTATGCTTGGATTACCAAGGCTTATCTGAAACCAATAATTTTAATCTCTGGGTCCTAGTGCAAATAAGTGGACTTACACGAAGGAACTCTGCATGTAGGAGACCTTTCATAACTTGATTGCAGCGTCGTTTCTGAGCATTTCCTTCAAGAACATTCTCCAGAAATACTCGGATCTCCCGGATTTGCGTGTTGGCAGGTAGCAGGTTCAAAGTCTGCAGAATCATTTTTAACAGAAATTTTACAGAAGAAGGGAAAACATCCCTGCATATTAACACAGAGAAATGCTGCTCAGTATTTATACCTAGTATGATGTTTTACAACAATTTCAATGTTTACTTTTGATGCTTTGTAACTATCAGCCTCAAATGGAAGGGGTTTGCTCAAAAAATCAGCTCTGAGGTACTCAATAAATGAACTGGTTGCTAACTCCCACTTGTCAGCCTCACATGAACAATGGCCAGTTGGTTAAAACTTCCCTGAGCAGGCAATGTTTTGAGGGCTAATTTGTAATCTTATAGTAATTATGTATTGTTGGCACCTTCTATTATACATACACAAATCTTCGTATGATTTCAGAATTTTACAACATGGACCAGCATTTTCAGAGAAACAGTTCTACCTTCCAAAATCAGCACTCTAGTTGCCCACGATAGTTCTGTCACAGATCTAGCTGAACACCAGGCACCAAGTAATTTCAAATCCTTCTCCACATGCTGAATCTGTAAAAATTCTCAGAACTGCACAACTGTATTTGATACATTCTTATGCTAGCACCATGCTCGCACAGGCTCCTTCTTGTGAACATAAATACACTTAAACAAGGAACTGCGGAAAGATGTGTTGTCGAATAGTCAATTTTAATATCTAGATAATGTAGTACAATTGTAATAAGTTGCTTGACTAAGTTCCTTTATCCTTAACGCCTCATGATTTTCAGCTATTACTGGAATACTTTATTTAAGCTCTACTGTGATGACAGAAGCAAAATATTTGGTCATTTTGTCTGCCATTTCTTTGTTATCTACTATATACTTGCTCTTTTACTTTTTTAAATATACCTGTAGAAACTTGTTATCTGTTTTACAACCTTAGCTAGCTTCCTCTCATACTCTAATTTCTTCCCCTGATGACTTTTTAGTTATTCTCTGCCATTCTATATATTCCAACATGTCATCCGACCTAACACTCAACTTTGTGCAGTTGAATGCTTTTTGCTGAAGTTTGATAGCGTGTCCTCCCTTGAAGATTTATCTTTATAGTAGGAATTTACTTATGGTGAGTATTCTGAAATGTCCCCTTAAATGTGTACCACTGAGCCTCTATTGCCATTTAGTTTCTTTGAGTTTCCTCTAGGGTTGCCTTAACTCTGATTATTAATTAATCCTGTCACATTACACATTACTGAAGTCAAACATAACCTGCTTTCTGGTCGGTTTAAAAACTCGAAGAAAGAATTTCAAAACCGTTCTTTGGTCTCATCCAGAGTACTACTGCCAGTTTTCAGTCTATCTGTAGATTAAAGTCAGCCATGACTATTGCCATTTCTTTATCACAAGTAGCGAATATTTCCTTATGCATACTTATTTCACATTGTGGGGGGGTGGGGACACAGATCATTTCCACTAATTATTTCTTTCCTCTAATATGCCTCATCTCCACCCAAACTGATTCTGAATCCTGATCTCCTGAACCAAGGCAATCTCTAAATATTGCACAAATGCCATCCTTGATTAACAGTTCTACCCTTCCAGCTTTACTTGACTTTATACTTTTCTTTCATATCATATACTGCTCAAAATTCAGGACCCAGTCCTTGTCATTCTACAGCCATGTCTCACAATGTCTGTAGTTCAGCCTTCAGCTCACTAACTTTGATTCAAAGTTGTTTGAAATTCAAACACTTATTGCTGAAGATCAGATTGATAGAGGAGCTCCCACATGCCACAGCCTCGACATATCACCTGTCCTGTTATCCGAAATGAATTTTAGTTATATTATTCACTTATTTACGTTGCCTTTTAAATACTTAATTAACTTTACAACCAATTTGTATACTGTGCTAAAATTTAAGAATAGAAAAGACTATAACCACTTACCAAAGACACATTGAACAGCTAGCTCCTTTAACTAGGAAACCATGCAATAATAAGATTTTGGAGTGGATTTGTAGTTCGGGTTGTGGATGTTGTGGTTGGTTGGCTGGCTTGCTTGCTGTTGTTTCGCAGACGTTTCATTACCTTGCTGGGTAACATCATCAGTGCAGCCTCCAATGAAGCGCCATTGTGTACACGAAGGGTACACGAACACCAACTGGCTACAAAAAGACACGACCAATACGCACTCATCTTTATCCACATGGGTAAGGAGAACCACCAATTCGATTGGACAACACCAAGACCCTGGGACAAGCAAAGCAGAGACAGGCACAGGAATTCCAAGAAGTCTGGTACTCCACGAAGAAAGCCATCAACAAACACACAGAACTCGACCCCACATACGCTCCATTGCGAAGGAAAACCAGAAGTGAGGTAATCCAGCTCAACGGACTCCAGAGTTTAAAAACCAGGTGGGAAAACACAATGGCGTTTCACCGGAGGCTGCACTGATGATGTTACCCAGCAGGGTAATGAAACGTCTACGGAACAACAACGAACCAGCTTGTCGAGCCAACCAACCACAACGCATAATAATAAACTGCATGAAGGAGGGAATCAAATAGGAGTTGAATCTGTATGACTGGTGTTATGACTGGTGGTAGCCATCTAGCCAACCAAGCTAACATACATACAGAGGCTTTAATATCAGAGATCATAAAATTTGCTTTCTTATTGCTGAGTAGAACACACAAAAAAGGTCACTTGCCTCATATTTCAAATTCAATGTTGGCCAAGGATCCCTAGCACTTCACTGCAATAATTCTTTGTGCAGTTTGGCCTTGTTGACAAGCACTAAAATAAAAACGGGCACTGAATTTTACATCTGCCTGTCCAGATACAGCCCTGACAGTACCTTTGTGGTGTCAAGTTTGCTGTGGTGCAGTTCTAGTACTTGTAGTGCAGCCTGAAGATTTGCCTGTGGCTCTGCTATTTCCATCCGGATTGGTCCCACCCAATGAATGTCAGGTGGCGACAGGTACATACGTAGTAGAGAAAGATATACCTAAGGAAATAATTGAATTGTTTGTGTAATCATTCACCTTTCAAAGTGCTATGATTATGATCTAGAATATAAAAACAAATCTTATGACAACATTTAATTGACAATTTTAATACATTTCTGACTGACGTGACTAGCTATATGAGGCAAGTTAGTAAGTAAAGTAACTACATGAAACCTTGCAGTTCTCCATCAACAAATGCATCAGCACCATATACTCACCAAGTGCTGAATATGACTGCCCTGATCACTATTGAACAACTTGCCCGAATCCTCAGAGGAGCTCCCCTTTCTTTGCCTCCACTTAACTCAAGAGTACAGCAGACGATAGTTAAGCTGTTTCTATCGATGGATAGATCTTATTTTAGCTACCTCACTCCCTTGGGCAAGTGCTACAAGACTGACCCCTACAGTTTAAAACAGCAATTCTATTATTCATGTCCTAAATAAACTGCACAGGATGGATTAGCGCTATGTACACTCACATCTTTGTCAGCTTCCTTGTTCAAGTCATAATGTTTGTGACAGTACCTGAAATGGGAAAGAAGAAGTACTTATTAAAATCAACCTATGTAAATCACATCTATTTGAACTATATTAATAAGGGTAAAAACAAGTGAACTCTGCTCAAAAAGCAAGTTTTCAGAAATAGAAAAAGCTACATACAACTTGGTAAGATTAGTGAGAAATCAATTCAATAGGTGATTTTCTAATATGTGCCTTGTTGGTATTGTCACAACTCACTGAGGTTGTGCACTGGAAACCAAGCCCCACTGTTCCACAAGTTGTCACAAATGTGAAAACTTATATTTAACTATTGAATTGTTCAATCTTACAAAATGGTCTAGTTGAGGTTAAAAGAATTCACATGCCAGGTTTTTCATTGACAGGTAATAAACTAGTTATTGTAATCAAGCTTTTCACTAAAATCAAAAAGCAAGAAAGAAATGTGAACTGTTAGTTTATAACTCCAACCTAATCTCTACCCCTTTTTTTTAAATATTCCCACACAAATACAATCGAACTAATAAAGAGATAGCCCAAGACAAGTATTGTGGGTTGGAAAGACAAAGCACCACAGTTCTGGTACCAGTCTGGATTACAGTCGTCGATGAGCTGTTTTCTGTTAGTTTTCTCCTGCCTCCTTCCAATGCTTTGTTAACAAAAATTGGATACACTAATTTTCAGTCTGTCATTCACAGGTTAAAAAAGCACCCTTTCAATGCCTCTGAAGATGGATCATCCCCATTTTGCTTTCAATAAAGACAGATGCAGAGTGCAGTTCCGCAGAAAATGGTGAATGAAAGCAGCTTTCTGTTATATCCCCGCACAGGGGAGAGGGAGAGAGGAGAGCACGAGAGAGCAAGAAAGATTTAGGTGCTTTCTCTTTCACACGCTGGATGTTTTCCTCTGCTATCTAAACACTTGCTGAGGAACCACCATGTGACTGTTAATATGCTGAGCCCTTGGGCCCACACCACTGCTACAGATGCAATGGACTGTCATTGGGCCAGTGGGGGGACACATATACACAGGAGCACATACATGCATCCACACAAAGTCATTCTGTTGAGCATTCTTCCCCACTGCAGAACAGGCAACATATAGCTACAACTCACAATGAGTTACAGTAACTCATTTTTAAAACTGCAACATCTTCCACAGTTTTCCTTGGCTTAAACAAGTACCTGTTGCTATTTTTTTTTAGTCCAGTCCAAAACAAAAGTGGTCTTTTACAGTCCCTTATACTTAAGAGTTAAAGCAAAATCAGAAGTTCCAGGGAAAGTACTTAGTTTGGAGCCCTGATTTGCCAAAAAATGGTTCCATGGGAACTCCTGCTGATGGTCCTATTAGGAACTGTCAGCATATAAACTTTGGCTGTTTGGCTCAGGAGTTAGCTAACTGTTTTACCTTGAATGACTTGGTGCATTCAAACTACCTATAAAATCAAGAGTGTCTTCATATTCTTGCCACCCTGGTGCTGCTAAACACCTCCCTGCTCCCATCAACCTTGCCCCCAAGTACCCAGACTCCAATCACCAACTTCATTCATCTCCAGTTAACCCAGTCATTCTACTCCCCTACTTCCCCTGGCATCTCTGACTCTTTTGTTCCATTGATGTCAGACCAGGGTAGAGGTGCCTTTGGGGCTTTGTGATGATAGAGGGTTGGTGAGGCACACTGAGGAATCAGGTAATGAATAGGAGTGAGACTGGTTGGATAGTGATCGAGAGTCAAAATCCAGAATGAACTAAAACTGGTTTTTAAATCGCGTGGGAACATTAAACTGAAGGCAGAGTTCAAACAGCATTCCTGATTTTTTTCTTCACAGATACTGCCAGACCTGCTGAGCTTTTCCAGCAACTTTGTTTCTGTTCCGGACGACAAAGTGAGTGTGGTGCTGCTTTTATGCTTGCCACTAGGCCTCCCTACTCCCTTCAACAAATCCAGACTGTGGCCAAAATAGGAAGTTCCTGCTGCAGCCAATATGAAGTGAAAATAAGTTAAATTGAAGTGCTATCTGCAGCCTAAGCTACAGCTTTGCCACTAATGGGAAGATCTGGGCCCATGAATATTTATAGCGGTCAGTTTAATAATCACAGGAAATTTAATGAGATAAAAGAATTTTCCATCTAATACCCATTTATAACCTCGGTAAGTTTAGCATCATCTGCAAATTTTAGAGTACTGCTTCTATATCCAAGGTTAGGATGCTAAAAATTAAAGAGTGTAATGGATCAACAATTTACCAGAGGAGAACAGCGTGGCAAATCACATCAATTCTTAAGAATACCTATCAATGGCTACCCTTTTGTCTCTGTCACTAAGCCAATTTCGCACGTGTCACCAATTAGCCTTTTAAGTTCATGAACCGCCATTTTTAAAAATAGTAATCTGTTTCTTAGATAGGAGTTGAAAGTGCCTTTAAAATGTGTCCCCAATGCTTCATACCTAAGAAAATGAGCACAATTTGTAAAGCATTTGCAAATTAATGCAATCTCACAATCTTGCTTTTATCAGTTTTATGACTGGGAGATTATACATGAAATTAATCTTGAACCAGTGTAATAAGACTGAAGGAAACATGACTAGCTATGTGAAAAATTCTCTGATCTTTTGCAATAATGTGGCTGATATACCCGGAATCTGCTGGACCCAAGTGCCAGATAAGGAGGATTTAAAGGTTGGGAGGGGACGGACGTGTACATACTGTCACACATGCACACCCCTCTCCCCCCAACCTCCCCCTCGGGATATACTGAGAAAGATCAGTCTGAGGCTGGTGCAGTTGGGAGAAGGAGCAAGTTAAAAAGTCAGGGCAGGCAGGAGCGAAGCAGGTAGGACTGATAAATTAAACTGCACTTATTTCAATACAAGAGCCTAACAGGTAAGGCAGATGAGCTCAGCACATGGTTGCGAACACGGGACTGGGATATCATAGCTATTACAGAGATGTAGCTTGGGGATGGACAGGACTGGCAGCTTAATGTACCAGGGCACAGATGCTAAAGGAAGGATAGAAAGAGGGGGTAAACAAGAGGGTGTTTTTGATTAGGGATAACATTACAGCTGTACTTAGGGAGGATATTCTTGGGAATATGTCCAGGGAAGTCATTTGGGTGGAACTGAGAAGTAAGAAACAGATAAAAACTCAGCAGGTCTGGCAGCATCTGTGAAGAAAAAAATCAGAGTTAACATTTCCTCAAAAGGGTCACTGGACCTGAAATGTTAACTCTGATTTTTTTCTTTACAGATGCTGCCAGACCTGCTGAGCTTTTCCAGCAACTTTGTTTTTGTTCCTGATTTACAGCATCCACAGTTCTTTTGGTTTTTATTTAATAAGAAAGGGATGATCACCTTATTGGGATTGTACTATAGACCCCTCAATATTCAGCGGGAAATTGAGAAGCAAATTTGTGAGGAGATCTGTAAGAATAATACAGTGGTTATGGTAAGGGACTTTAACTTTCCAAACATAGGCTAGGACTGCCATAATGTTAAGAGCTTGGAAGGAAAGGAATTTGTTAAGGTTGTACAAGAAAATTTTCTGATTCAGAATATGGACGTACCTACTATGGAAGGAGCAAAATCTGACCTATTCTTGGGAAACAAAGCAGGGCAGGTGACTGAGATATCAGTGACCATAATTCTATTGGCTTTAAAATAGTGATGGAAAAGGATAGACTGGATCTAAAAACGTTAAACATCTAAAATGGATGAAGGCCAAATTTGATGGTATTAGCTAAAAAGAAAGCTAAAATCAACCAGAAGTTGATTGGGGCGGATATTTACAGGTAAAGGGATGGGTGGAAAATGGGTAGCCTTTAAAGAGGAGGTAACGACAATCCAGAGACAGTACGTTCCTGTTAGGGTGAAGGGCAAGGCATATGTAGGGAATGCTGGATGACTAGAGAAATTGAGGTTTTGGTCAAGAAAAAGAGAGAAGCATATGATAAGTACAGACAGCAGGGATCAGGTGAATCCCGAGAACAGTATAAAGGCAGTAGAAGTATACTTAAGAAGGATATCAGGAGGGCAGAAAGGGGACAAGAGATAGCTTTGGCAGGGTTAAGGTCAATCCAAAGGGAATCAACAAATACTTTAAGGACAAAGAGTAACTTGGGACAGAACAGGGCCTCTTAAAGATCAGCAAGGCCACCTAAGTGTGGAACTGCAGGAGATGGAAGAGATACTAAATGAGTACTTTGCATCAGTGTTTACTGTGGAGAAGGATATGGAAGCGTGAAAACATGGGGAAATAAATAGCGACAACTTGAAAAATGTCCATACTACAGAGATGGTGGTGCTGCACGTCTTAAAATACCAAGAAGGTGGATAAATCCCTGGGACCTGATCAGGTGTACCCTAGAACTCTGTGGGAAGCTAGGGAAGTGATTGTTGGGTCCCTTGCTAAGATATTTGTATCATCAATAACCACAAGTGAGGTGCCGGAAGACTGGAGGTTGGTTAATATGGTGCCACTATTTAAGAAAGGTGGTAAGGAAAAGTCAGGGAAGTGCAGACTTGTAAGTCTGACGTTGATGGTGCCCGACGTTGATGATGCGCACATTGTTGGAAGGGATTCTGAGGGACTTGTATTTGGAAAGGCAAGGACTGATTAGGGATAGTCAACAAGGCTTTGTGTGTGGGAAATCATGTCTCACTAATGTGACTATTTTTGAAGAAGTAACAAAGAAGATTGATGAAGGCAGAGCAGTGGACGTGATCTATATGCACTCAGTAAGGCATTTGACAAGGTGCCGCATGGTGGACTGGTTAGCAAGGTTAGATCACATGTAATACAGGGAAAACTAGCCATTTGGATATAGAACTGATTCAAAGGTAGAAGACAGAGGGTGGTGGTGTAGCGTGCTGATCAGACTGGAGCTCAGTGGTACACTGCTGGTCACAAGGATCAGTGCTGGGTCCACTGCTTTTCATAATATATATATAAATGATTTGGATGTGAACATAGGAGGTATAGTTAGTAATTGACACCAAAATTGGAGGTGTAGTGGACGGCCAAGTAGGTTACCTCAGAGTACAATGGGACCTTGATCAGATGGGCCAATAGGCTGAGGAGTGGTAGATGGAGTTTAATTTAGATAAATGTGAGGTGCTTCATTTTGAAAAGGCAAATCAGGGCAGGACCTACACACTTAATGGTAAAGTTCTGGGGAAGTGTTGCTGAACAAAGAGACCTTAGAGTGCAGGTTGTTGGTTCCTTAAAAACAGAATCGCAAGTCGACAAGATAGTGAAGGCGGTGGTTGGTATGCTTGCCTTTATCAGTCAGTGCATTGGGTGTAGGAGTTGGGAGGTCATGTTGCAGCTGTACAGGACATTGGTTAGACATTTTTGCAATAACACGTTCAATTCTGGACTCCCTGCTATAGGAAGGATGTTGTGAAACTTGAAAGGGTTCAGAAAAGATTGACAAGGATATTACCAGGGTTGGAGGGCTTGACCTATACAGGGAGGCTGAATAGGCTGGGGCTATTTTCCTTGCAGTGTCGGAGGCTGAGGGGTGACCTTACAGAGGTTTACAAAATCATGAGGGGCATGGATAAGGTGAACAGCCAAGGTCTTTTCCATGGAACGAGGGGGTCCAGAATTAGAGGGCATAGGTTTAAGGCGAGAGGGGAAAGATTTAAAAGGGACCTAGGGGGCAACGTTTTCACACAGAGTGGTGCATGTCTGAGAAAGTGATGCAGGTTGATACAATTACAACATTTAAAAGGCATTGGATGGGTATATGAATAGTAAAGGTTTAGAGGGATAGGGGCCAAATGGGACTAGATTTATTTAGGATATCTAGGTAGCTTGGACAAGTTGGACCAGAGGATCTGTTTCCATGCTGTACAACTTACGACTAAGTGAAAACTCCCTTCCCCGAACTTCCTTTGAATGTTAGGAGACAAATTAAGTTGCAGACTTAGGTACAAATACATACTGATAAAAATCAAATATGTAGGATGTGCATCAAACCCATCTTGATCTCACCTGGTGGAAAATTATCTGCAGCAAAGGAACAACGAACAACGAACCGTATTCACTGTGCAGCGCTGAACTGAAGCAAACGCATTGCAAGTTCAACATTTCCATCTTAAAAAATAGTCCAAACAAGTTTGAAATGAAGATATAAAACCCAGTAAATTTAGTTGTATGTGGCAGAGCTCCTAAAATGGAATGTGATAATACTTACTCTTCTGCCATTTTAATATTCTTCAGTATGTGAACATAAATAAAAAGGGCTTGTTCATGTAGACCCATCCGACCCATCAGTAATGCTCGCTCCTCCAGTAACCCTGAAATACAACCAGAAACACAACTCATGCTCACCTCCTTTTTCTCATTGAGCATTTTCTCCACTCAAAGTAAAGACTAAGCTGCACTGTGTGAAGTTGCCATGGTCGTGAAGTGTAGACAAGTCAAAACACAATAACCTAGTTCCAACTTTAGATTTCAGAAAACAAAGACCCATGAAAGGAACGAACCAGAACAGGAATGACACAGAGAGCTTTGAGACATATTTGGAAGGGGTCCTTGTGGGTAATTTCAGAGGGAATTGAAGATGACACTGCAGAAAAGCAACAGACATGATCTGTTTAAATACAGAATAAGGAAGAGATTAACTCAGGAAAAAATAGGACCTTTCAGGGACCATAGAGATAATGTGTATGAACCCAGAATACATGGCACAATCTTCAATAAATACTTTGATTGTTCTTCACGATGAAAAAGGATTATGTAGATATAGACATCACTGTGGAAGACTGAAATTTTAGAAGAAATTAACGACAGAGAAGAAGTATTTTGGGTTTAACAGCTTTAAAATGGATACATCCACAGGCCCATATATATGAGATTATACCAGGCAGTTGAGGGAGATGAGGAAGATGATATCAGAGGTCCTAGCAGCAATTTTCAAGTTCTCTCTGGCCACGGACAAGGTGCCAAGACTGGAGAACTGCTAACATTATCCCATTGGTAAAAAAAAAAAGAGGGGAAGGCATACAGCAAAAAAAATTACAGGCCAGACAGTCTGATCTTGGTGGGATAGAAGTTACTTTAAAGATGACTAAGGGACAGAATATATCTATGAAATGCTCCAAATGATTACTGTATTTAAACAAAAAAGTGTTCCACATTTTACGATACAGCTTTATTTCAGTTAGCCACACCTTAAAACTCTCACCACATTGATTACTAGCTTCCTATGTTTAGACAACCAACTTAAACTCATTTAACTCTCAATTAACATATTCATCATATATTCTCTCATTCCATTAGGATCGAGGGCATTCTCCTTTTTCTTTTTAGAAAAATCAACCTATAATAATAGGAATAAAAAATTCAAATGACAGTGATTATTCTTTTCTTCACGCATTCAAGTTTTATTTCCATTATATCCAGCAATTTATTTTAAATTGTTTAATAAAGAAAAGAGCAATCAGAGCTCTCCATTCTCCATCATTGGTTTGATCGATCATCAGTCTTCCATCATTCACACTTTGTTTAGTGTATAGTACCCTACAGTGATTTATAGTCAATGTCGCGCTCAATAGATATTGCTACGAGATCCCTTTCCAGAGGTCCTTCCAATATTTTCACTAAGAAAAATGCCATATCTAACCAAAAACCAGAGACTCCGTTGCAAAGGCACTTCTTAACAACTATTCTGATCTATTTAGCTTCCCAAACTCAAGGGTAATATTTAGCTCCCTTTCCTCTAATATTTTCTAGCTTGGGATTTTTCATAAAATTCAATACTTAAGTGGCATCAGGGCTTGCTTGGGTGCCCAGCCTATTCAGCTGTCCAATGAGTCCCTGCGATTCCTCCATTTCAGTTTGGCTGTGAATACTGACATCGACACCTGTGCGCTGTGTGCCTTGTGACACTTTACATTGCATGTACGCAGATTTGTTTTTGATGGGGGAATGGTGAGAGAGAGAAGGAACATTTCTACTCTGAACTCCAACTATCCACACCTCCCAGAATTTTGTAAACCTATACTAGGTTGTTCCTCAGCCTCTGACATTCAAGTGAAAACGAACCGAGTTTTTCCAGTCTCTCCTCGTAGATTATACCCTCCAAACCAGGCAACAACCTGGTAAACCTTTCCTGTGAGATAGTAAGAACAGCCAGTGTGGAGCTGCAGGAACACACAGCAAGCCAGGCAGCATCAGAGGAACAGGAAAGCTGACGTTTTGGGTTGGGACCCTTCTTCAGAAATGGGGGAGGGAAGGGGGCTCTAAAATAAATAGAGAGGGGGGAGTTGGGCTGGGGAACGTAGGTGGGATGATGTTAGGTGAGTGCAGGTGGGTAGGGGGGGGGGGATTGGTCAGTGAGGTGGGAGGAGCGGATAGGTGGGAGAGAAGACAGACAGGTCAAGGAGGCGGGGATGAGAGGGAGGGTTTGTCTTGGGATGAAGCCGGGGGTGGGGAGATTTTGAAGCTAGTCAAGTCCACATTGAGACCATTGGGTTCTCCCTACCTGCACTCACTTATCGCCTCATTCCAAGACCAACTCTCCCTCTCATCCCTGCCTCCTTAACCTGTCCGTCTTCTCTCCCACCTATCCGCTCCTCCCACCTCACTGACCAACCTTTCTTGTACCCTTTCCACTTCATTCTGACGTGTGGCAACCAGAACTGTATGCAATATACATAACTTGTCAATTTTCACACCTCTATGCCCTGACCGATGAGAGCAAGCATGCCTTCCTAGCCACCTTAAGCCATGGCATCTTCAGGGGACACTGAATCTGTATGCTTAAATCCCTTTGTATATAAACGCTTCAAAAGGTTCTGCCATTTACTATATACTTCCTCTCCTGCATTAGATCTTCCAAGATGCATCACTTTGTATTTGGCTGGATGAAATTCTAACATAGAATCCCTACAGTGTGGAAACAGGACCTTTGGCCCAATAAGTCCACACCGACACTCAGAGCATCCCACCCAGACCCATCCCCCTAATCTACACATCCCTGAAGACTATGGGCAATTTAGCATGGCCAATCCACCTAGCCTGCACATCTTTGGATTGTGGGAGGAAACCGGAGCACCCGGAGAAAACCCACGCAGACACAGGGAGAATGTGCAAACTCCACACAGACAGCCGCCCCAGGGTGGAATTGAATCTGGGTCCCTGGCGCTGAGGCAGCAGTGCTAACCACTGAGCCACCGTAATTCTATCTGCCATTTCTCCATCCAAGTCATTAGCCTATCTCTATCCTGCTATACCCTGGAGTAATTCTCCTCACAATCCAATAGCTTTTCCAATCTTCGTGTCATCTGCAAACGTACTAATCAGACCACCCACATTCTCTTCCAAATTATTTATATACATTACAAATAACAGGGGTTTCAGCACTACTCAGAAAAACACCCTTCCACCACTACGATATATCTTGTACAACTAAGCCAGTTCTATCCATTTTAAATAAAAAGAAACGAAAGAATTATGGATGCTGGAAATCAGAAACAAAAACAGAAATTAATGGAAAAACTAGCAGATCTGGCAGCATCTGCGGAGGGAAATCAGAGTTCAAGTTTCGGATCTAGGGACCCTGTACTGAAAGTTCTGAAGAAGGATCACTCTTCCCGAAATGTTAATTCTGATTTCTCTTTACAGATGTGCCAGACCTGTTCGGTTTTTCAAGCAATTTCTGTTTATTAGTTCACTGCAGATCCCATGTAACTGTACCTTCTGTATCAGCCTGCCACAAGGAACCTTATCAAAAGGCCTTCCTAAAGTCCATGTAGACAACATCCACCGTTCTGCCCTCAATCATCTTCGTTACTTTCTCAAAAGACTCAATCAACTTCATAAGACACAACCTTCCATGCACAAAGCCATGCGGCCTGCTGCTAATAAGCCCATATTTTCTCTCCTGTGACTAAACAGGATCCAAAGATTGTGTACAAGGCTCCAGCAATTTCCTTCCTTGCCTCCCTCAGTATTCTGGGATAGATGCCATCAGCTCCTGGGTACTTGCCCATCTTAATGCTTTTCCAAACGTGAAAGACCACCTCATTTTTCATTATGACATTCGCTAGAATATCAACATAAGCTTCTCTAGACCATCCACCATGTCCTTCTCCTTTGTGAATACCCATGTAAAATGTTCGTTAAGGACCTCATCCATATCCTCCAACTCCATGCATAAATGTCCTCCTTTGTCCTGGAGTAGACTTATCCTTTCCCTAGCTTCCCTCTTATTCCGTATATATGTATAAATAGGATTGGAATTTTCCTTAATCCCGTTTTCCAAGGACATTTCAAGGCCCCTTTTAGCCCCTTGTTTAAGTTCTTTCCCGTTTTCTTTATATTCCTCAATGACTCTGTTTGCCTTCAGTTTCCTAAACCTATGCCTCCTTTTATTTTGTGACTAAGTTCAAAATTTCTCATCATCCAAGGTTCCCAAATCTTGCCATATTTATCACTCACTTTCACAGGAACGTGCTGGTCCTGAACTCTAATCAACTGGCCTTTACAAGATTCCCTCATGACAGATGTAGATTTACCCTCAAACAGCCGCCCCCAATTTACATTCCCCAATTCTTGTCTAAGGTTGTCACAGTTAGCCGTCCCCCAATTTTGTACTTTCACTCAAAGACTATTCTTATCCATAAGTAACTTAAAACTTACAAAATTATGGTCACTGCTCCCGAAATGCTCACCCCACTGAAATTTTGATCACCTGGCTGGGCTCATTCCCCAGTACCAGGAATAATATGGCCCCTTTCCTAGTTGGACTATTTACCTATTGCTTCAAGAAACCCTTTTTGATACACCCAACAAATATGCCCCTGTCCAAGCCTCTGGCACTAAAGGAATCCCAGTCAATATACAGGAAGTTCAAATCTCCCACCACAACAACGTGTTTTTATTTAAACCCTACATTTTTCCATAATCTGTCCACAAATCTGTTCTTCTACCTCCTGCTGGCAGTTGGGAGATCTGTAGTACAAGTCCAAAGTGATTGTATCCTTCCTATTCCTGAGCTCTACCCATATGGCCTCCAACGTGTCCTTCCTCAGTACTTGGTGATATTCTCCTTAATCAGTAACGTAACTCCCCTACCTCTTTTACATCTCTCTTTATGTCGCCTGAAACGTTTAAATCTTGGAACATTAAGCTGCTAGTCTTGTCCCTATCACAACCAAATCTCTGTAACAGGTACAATACAGTATCATACTTACATGCATTAATCTAAGCTATAAGTTCATCTGCCTTACTTGTCACATCCCTTGCGTTAACACAAATGCACTTCAGACTACCAGTCATCTTGTTCAGTAACCTTTCCCTGTCTGCTCTTCCTCTTTGCTTTACTGGCTTTAGTTTTTAACTTCTCCTTGGTCATTTCACTTGTGACCTACTGCTCTGGTTCCTTTTCCCCTTGCCACACTCATTTAAAACCTTCCAAGGGACACTAGCAAATCTCCCTGTCAGGAGATTGGTCCCTCCAGTTTAGGTGCAACTTCTTGTATAGGTTCCACCTGCCCTGGAAGGCATCCCAATGATCCACATCGGAAGCTTTCCTTCTTAGACCAACTTTTTAGTCACGTATTTAACTGTACCATCTTCCTATTCCTAGCCTCACACGTGGCATAGGGAGTAACCCCAAAAATACAATCCTAGAGGACCTTTTTTTTCTTTTTTAAAAAACTTACTACCTAACTCCCTCAAATCCCTCTGCAGGATAAACTGCATAGGCATTATTCCTGCCAACGTTGCTAGTACCAATGTGTATTACAACATCTGGCTGCTCGCCCTCCCTTTTAAGACTGTCCTGTGTCCATTCAGAGACATCCTTGACCCTGGCACCAGGGAGGCAACACACCATCCTTGAGTACCTTTTGTGGCCACAGAGATGCCTAGTCTCTTTTACTAGCAGAAACATTTTAGCCATGTCAACTCTATCCAGGCCTTTTGGTATTTTGTAAGTTTCAATGAGATACCCCTCATCCTTCTAAACGCTATTGAGCACAGACCCAGGGTCCTCAACAACTCCTCACATGACAGGGTCTTCATCCCCAGATCAATCTTGTAAATCTTCTTTGGAACCCCTCCAGTACCAGCACATCTATCCTTAGATACAGGATCCAAATTTGCTCGTACAATTAAAATACACTCTGACCTGAGCCTTACACAGCCTCAGCAGTACATCTCTGCTAGTGTATTCTGGACCTCTTGAAATGAATCTCAACTTTGCATTTTCCTTCCTAACTGTCAACTGAACCTACATGTTAACCTTAAAAGAATCCTGGACTGGGACTCCCAAGTCCCTTTATGCTTCAGATTTCTGAAGCTTTTCATCATTTAGAAAATAGCCTCCACCTCCGCTCTTTCTACATTGGTGCATAGCCTCACACTTTGTCATATTGTATTCTACCTACCACTTCTTTACAACTTCTCCTAACCTGTCCAAGTCCTTCTGCAGCCTCCCTGCTTCCCAAACACTACTTGTCCCTCCACCTGTCTTTGTGTCATCTGCAAAAGCGCCCTCAAGTTCCTTCTTCCAGATCATTCATTTATAGTGTGAATAGTTGTGGTTGCAGCACGGACCCCTGCAGAACTCCACTAGTCACCAGCTGCCATCTTGTAAAAGGCCCCTTTATCCTCATTGTACCTTCTCCCAGTTGGCCAATCCTCTATCCACATTAGTACCTTCCCCCTTAAGGAATGCAAATGGAATATTGGCCCTTATTTCAAAGAGACTGGAGTACAAAAGAAGGAGATTTTGCTAAAACTTTGCAAGATGCTAGTCAGGCCACAACTGGAATGCTATGAACAATTTTGGGTCCATTATCTAAGGAAAGATATACTTGCATTGGAGATAGTCCACAGAAAGTTCACTAGGCTGATGTTGGGCATGAAGAGACTTATGAGCAGACTGGGCCAGTACTCATTGGAACTTAAAAGATCAAATAACCTCCAGAATTTACTGAAACATACAATATTCTTGGGAGACTTGACAGGATAGATGTTGACAGATTGTTTTCCCTTGATAGAGTGGACCAGAGGGCATAATCTCAGAATAGATGAGGATAAATTTCTTCTCCGAGTAGCAACTCTGTGGAATTCTTTAACGCAGAGAACTACTGAGGCTGGTTCATTAAGTATATTCAAGGCTCAGATATACAAATTCTTAAATCAGTAATGGAATCAAGGATTATAAGGAAGAGGGAAAGAGGAGTTGAAGATTGATAGATCAGCCATGATCTCACTGCGTGGTAGAGCAGACTTAATGGGTTGAATGGCCTACAGATGCTTTTATATCTTACTGCCTTAGCTGTTGGGCAGGTATATAATCAAAAAGTTTGCAGATGAAATAAAAATTGATATGGTTGTAAATATTGAGGATGATAGCTTAAACTGCAAGACTATTAAAGTGCTGATGTGGTGGACAAAGAAGTGGCAAATGGAATTCAACCTGGAAGTGAGAAGCAATGTACTTGGCTAGGGTTAATAAGGTAAATGATCACACTATGAATGACAGGACCCTCAACAGGGGAGATCAGAGGGACCTTGGTGTTCACGTGTACATATCCCTGAAGGTAGTTGGATAGATGTACAAGGTGGTTAAGAAGATCTATGGAACACTTGCCTTTCGTAGCTGAGGCCCAGAACATAAGAGGAGGGAGGTTGCGCTGGAACTGTACAAAACTCTGGTTAAGCCACAACTAGAGTACATCATGTAGTTCTCCCCACCACATTCTAGAAGGATGCAACTACACTCAAAAGGATGCAGAGGAAATTAACCAGGATGTTGCCTGGGGTGGAAGGTTTGAGTTATGAGGAAAGATTGGATAGGCTGGGGTTTGTTTCTCTTGGAGCAGCGTAGGTTGAAAGAGGACCTGACAAAGATGTCAAAAAGTATGAGGGCCATAGATAGTGTGGATAGAAAGGCACTTTTTAGTAAAGTTAATAACCTGGGCCATATATCTAAGATAAGACACAGAAGCTAAATGGAGAGTTGATATCCACTTGCATTGCCATAAACTCCAGAGCTATGGGCCAGGGCTGGGAAATGGGACCAGTATCGTTAGATCTTTGTTGACTGGTGCAGACACAATGGATGGAATGGCCTCCTCTGTACTGTAATGCTTATGGGTTAATACAATAATTTGAGATAAAAGAAAATTCAGAGGTCTGAAAAAAGTCACGAGTCAGGCAGTATTCTAACGTATAGCATATCTATGCTCCTCATACTCTTATACATCTCTGAGGTCCTCTCTCTAGCTTCACAGCTCTAAGAAAACCAAATACCAGCCCATCCAATCTTTCCTCATGGCTCAAAAACAATGTCAAAATGTATGACATCTACTACTATTTTTAATCAACCTGTTCAGACATGTCAAAACATACCTCGATGATAGATGGAACTTGATGTTACAATAACTTTAACAAAACCACACAGTAGCAGTGAACAACTATCTCAGATACACATTACACGTGTCTAACAAAAGCAATGAAATATTCAAACGAGTTATATTTATTAACATTTTGTCCGGACATTTGGTGACTCACCATCAAACGGAAAGTCACTGATGAGCTTGCTGGGTTGATAATGCGTGGAAATTTCTAAGAAACACAACAGCTTGTTCCTGTACTCTCCCAACTCCCCTTCTTCATTTCCAGCAGGAACAGGGATCTCATCTGGAACAATAAACCATGGTGATTACAATCCAATTTTTAAAACGACATGCAAAGCACAAGAGGTTTCAAAACAAAAGGAACTCGAAGTTCCTGAAAATTTTTGTGATGTTTTATGGAGGTCAAACAGGCAGAAAAGATCTCTACTAAACTGGCTTCTCAGAAATGACAACGTGAGTTGGACAAAATATATACATACACAGAACTAGATACTGCATTCAAGATATAGTTTGATTAGAGTACTAGTATTCTAACGTTTTCACCTTACAACTCAGAATTTCTTTGGATTTGCTCACTGCTGCTTTACACCAGTTGGAAATATTCAGATCAAGTGCACAAGACTCCTAGCTTGGATAGCTGCAGATAGATTGTTTCCCTTGGGAGAATCTAGAATCTAGGGCAAGAGGGCATATTCTTAGAATAAGAGGTCACACATTTAAGACAGAGGTGAGGATTTCTTCTCCTCAAGGATTGTGGATCTGTAGACTTCTTTAGGACTGTCAAGTCTGGATAGTTAAGTACATTCAAGGCTAGGACAGAGTTTTTTTAACTCGGTAAAGGAATCAAAGGTTTATAGGGAAATGCAGGAAAGTGGAGTTCAGGATTATCAGATCACAATCTCATTCAGTGACAGAGTTAACCCCGAGAGGCTGAATGGCCTAGAGTTGTTGAGTCATTCAGTATAGAAACAGGTCCTTCGGTCCAACTCAACAACACCAACAGATTTCCCAAAATGAACTAGTCCAATCTGCCTGTGTTTGGCCCATATCCCTCTAAACCTTTCCTTTCCATGCACCTGTCCAAATGTCTTTTAAATGTTGTAATTGTACACGCCTCTATTACTTCCTCAGGCAGCTCGCTCCATATATGCATCACCCTCTTTGTGGAACAGTTGTTCTTCAGGTCTCTTTCATATCTTTCCCATCTCACTTTAAATCCATTCCCTCTAGTTTTGGACTCTCCTACCGGGGGAAAAGACCTTGGTTATTTATCTTATCTATGCTCCTCATGATTCCATAAACCTCTACAAGGTCAACCCTCAATCTCCTGTTCTCCAGGGAATAAAGTCCCAGCCTATCCAGCTTCTCCTTATAACTCAAATCCTCCAGACCCCAGTAACATCCTTGTAAATCTTTTATGTAAACTTGAGGTCCTATGGCCTATGTCTTATGACAGTACACAAGTAGACTATTCAGTCTGTCAAGTCCATACTGGGCGTCTGTTGAGCAACCGAATCAGTCTCATTTGCTCATACTATTGCAGCAGCTTTGCAAGTCTAGTTCCCTCGAGTGTCCATCTAATTTCCTTTCAAAATCATTCTTTCTTTCCACTTCCGTCAACATCGTAAAACGTCTCTCTTGCACTCCTTGCCAAAAATTTTAAACCTATGTGCCTTAGTCCTTGTACCATCTGCTAATGAGAACACCTTTGCTTTGTTTAACCTATCTACACATGTCAAAATATTCCAACATTCAATCAATCAATCTCTCCTCAGTCTTCCTTGATCCAAAAAGGAGAACACCTGATTTTCCAAGATAACACTGTAGCTAAAATTCCTCATCCTGGTAATTTTTACCTGCAACATCTCACCATCACTCATTCTTCTAGAAATGACAAGAACTGGATGCAGTACCCTAGCTGGGATCTAACCAGAGCTTTATATACATTCAGCACAGTTTTCTGCTTTTATGCTCAACATTTACGAAGGCCAAAATGCCATTTGATTTGTTAACCCTTAATATGCTCGGGAACCTTTAAAGATCTATGCGGATGAAGCTCCAGGCCCTGTGCATTCTTTAAACATATACTGTTAAATTTAAAAACTGAAAGAACTGCGAATGCTGTAAATCAGGAACAAAAACAAAGTTGCTGGAAAAGCTCAGCAGGTCTGGCATCTGTGAGGGAGAAAACAGAGTTAACATTTCGGGTCTGGTGACCCTTCCTCAGAACCGGAAACATTAATTCTGTTTTCTCCTTCACAGATGCTGCCAGACCTGATGAGCTTTTCCAGCAACTTTGTTACTGTTAAAATTTATATTGCCTTTCCCTATCTATCTTTTCTGTCAAAACGTATCACCTCACATTTCACTGCATTAAGTATTCAAGTATTATGTGACACTTGTCTGCACATTCTGCAAGCCTCCTGTCCTGGAATGCAGTTGATTGGTATCATCGTTGCTGCCAAGCCTCCAAGCTGTGTATAATTGGCAAATTTTGAAACTTTTCTCTTATGTTCCAGTATCTAAGTTCATATATACACAAATATATAAGCAGTGATTCTAGCACTGAACTTTGGGCACACCATGCAACGCCATATTGCCGTCTGAAAGTCAATCATATACCATGATTTTGTTTAGCTCTTAACTTTTTTAAAAAATTAAATTAATCTTCCCATTCCATAAGAGTCAAAGTTGTGCGACTGTTCTACTCAACCATATCATTTGTTGAGGATAGGTCCAAAACTGAACATGGAGTGTACACTCCATTAAAAATAAAGTTAATAATAGAAGAAAAAGGTTGGACGGAAGAAAGAGTAGTAGTCATGAGAAAAAAAAGCTTTACTAAGTTTTGGCTGAATGGTACAAGATTCAATCCCCGTCTTACTGTAATGATATTTCGCTACACACCAAGTGCTATTAAAAATAACCTGGAGGGATTTTTATGGGAAAGAAAAACATGTTAAGTCCTGTTGCTGCTGCTATACAGCGCAGTGGTACTGGAGGGTGGGCTGGGTAGTTTTGTTCCTTGCAGTCTGACTCAGTATAAATGGAGGGATGGACTATATAATCCTGCTTTCTCTGGCAGGCATGGAATTTGACAGCAAGGGACATTAATGCTATGGCACTATCAAGCAAGGTCAGCAAATTGCTTCAAGCCAATACTTTCAAGGAGAGGGGAGCAAAATAAAAATAGCAGAAAAGACTGGCCAATTAAACCAAAAATTAAACCAGAAACCAAAACATGCATTCAGATAAAAATGCACTTGCATACAAAGCAGATTCTCTGCAGTTGTGTGCCTTACCCTCAGGCAGAGAATTGAGGTATTCCTTCATGAGGGCTTGCACCTTCTCACGATATAGCTGGATCAGGCAGTTGTGGAAGACTGGTGCAGTTTCATCCCAGATATAGATAATATGCTCCTGGAAAGAGGAGGATAAAGAACAGCTATTTCTATGATATTAATAAAGACCACTTGTGACAGGTTGTAGACTTGCTCGCCGAGCCAGTGTGTTCGATTGAAAACATTTCGTCACCCTGCTAGGTAACATCGTCAGTGCGCCTCCAGTGAAGTGATGGTGTTCTGTCCTGCTTGCTATCCATATGCTACGGTTTGTTGGGGTGGTTGGTATCACTTCAAGCGCTGTTTTTCAATGGTTTGTATCGCGGGTGAGTGCCAGGAATGGCCTTCAGAGGATGCTTGAAAGAAAAAAGGCATGAAAGGAAGATATAGGCTTATTTAAAAAGGGAATCAAGTATGGAAGGCAACAGTAAAAGAGGAAGGTCAAGAAGGTGTAAGGAATTTGGAGGGCAAAGAGGAAAAAAACAAAATGAAGTATTACAATAGGAGAGGGATGCCCAATGTGGATAAAAAGATGGGGGAGAAAAAAGATTAAAAGCAGAAAAAGTAGTGATGGGACAAAAACAGAAATTTAAGACCTAGGGGTTCAGGTACATAATTCTTTGAAATTTGCATCACAGGTAAACAGGGTGGTTAAGAAGGCACTTAACATGCTTGCCTTCATTGCTCAGGCCAAATAGTATAGGAGTTGGAACATGGTGCTGAAATTGTACAAGATGTTGGTGAGTACTCTACTAGGAATGGAGGGTATTCAGTTATAAGGCTAGGCTGGATAGACAGACTTTTTTCATTGGAGTATAGGAGGTTGAGGAGTGACCTTATAAAGGAGCATGGATAAGGTAAATAGCAAAGGTTGTTGCCCTTAGGTGGGGGAGTTCAAAACTGGGGGCATATTTTTAAGGTAAGAAGAAAAAGATTTAAAAAGGACAGAAGGGGCAATTTTTTTTGTTTTTTACAGAGTGGTTAGTGTGTGGAATGAACTGCCATAGGAAGTGGTGGATGCACGTGCAGTTATAATGTTTAAAAGATATTTGGATACATACACGAATAGAAAAGGTTAAGCGATATGGGCCAAGCGCAGGTAGGTGGGACTAGTTTAGTTTGGGAACATGGTTGGCGTGAACTAGTTGGACTGAAGAGTCTGTTTCCATGCTGTATGACTCTGTGATCTGGCAGCATCTGTGGACAGAAATGTCTGCTGGCATATCAGCTGTGTCTCTCAGCAATTTCATTTATCGTTTCACATGTCCAGCATCCAAAGTTCTTTGTTTTGTTTTACAGGAGTGATGGACTTTGGTCCAGAGTAGCATCCAAAAAATAATGTGAAAACACATACGGAAACTCAAATTACAGAGGCACAACTCCACAGCAAGGTTAAGATACATAAACCCTAATAACAACACAAAGTTCTGAGGAAGGGTCACTCAACCCAAAACATTGACTCTGACTTCTCTCCACAGATGCTGCCAGTTCTGTTGAGTTTTTCCAGCAATTTCTGGTTTCGTTTCAAAATTAAAATCCAGTGTTCAATTTAGAGGTCCTGCGGTAGCATGAAGTAGCAGTATCCAGAATGGGGTCAGCTTAGAATATGGGCAAATGATTAGAGGACAAACTGCTACAGGTATTTCCATCGGAATGAGTAGCCAAAAATATGCAGAATCCATCATAGGGCCTCTCATTGATATCTCTACAAATTCTTCCTGTCTTACAATCCTGAGATCGCAGTGCTCCTCTAATTTCAGTCTTTTGAACATGCTGAATTTTAATTGTCCCAAACCTGTCAAAATATTCCAATATTGGTTCCATGTCTCCTCAATCATTACTCAAAGGAGAACGAACCCTAATCTTCCAAGATAACTTTGTCACTAAAATTCCTCATCCTGATAATTTCCAATTGCACCATCTCACCTCACTCATTTCACTAGAAATGGCACAAACTGGATGCTTCAAAAGTCATGCTTCAGTTATCTACACTCAAGTTTGGAATTGCTACCCTAATCCTTCTGCCTCTGCCTTTAAAACAATCCCAAATATTGATTGTTTGACCAAGATTTTTGTCCTAATGTCTCCTTATGTGTCAAATCTTTGATAATGTTCCTGTAAACCATTTTGGGTGATTGAATGACAAGAAAGTCTCTAAATAAATGCAAGTTGTTATTATTTATTTGTAGTTTAGAATTCCATGATCACAGTACTACTGGATTTCTTTGTCCCCCGGTATGGGAATGAGGTCTTAGTATAGACCTATAATGTGAAAAAATATCAATATATAGTGGCTTATACAACCAATGCACCTTACAGCCAATTAGGTTTTTTTCCCACGTGTAGGCACTATAATGTAGGAAATGTAGCAGCCAATTTGTACATCTCAAAACAGTATCAAGAAAATGATCAGTTATTTTTATCAAATTAAAGAATAACTTAAAGCCAGATCATTTCCTACATTAGAGAACTTTGACACCCGAGAAGGTGAATGGTGCTTTGGATCGCAAGTCAAGTCTGACAGGGAGGGATTCTCTCACAAGCGCACTGAAATGTTGATCTATATTATATGCTTAAGTCTCTGAAGTCTCAAACCTCTGAGTCAGGGAGGAGAGTGCTACCACTCTGACATCATAACTCTGATCTACATAAACAAAACAAACATTGCCCATATCCTGTTGTATCATCATCAATCCAGGTATAAGTTAAAGTTATGGAGTTTCATCAATTATATCCAAATAAACTATTATCTGAAAAAAATGGGTTACTGTTGTGTTATGGGCCAGACCAGACCCCCTTAATATATTTTAACAAGGTAGCCTAGACCCTAACGTTTTCTTATTTTAAAGGCAGATGTGAAGCGCCACGTTCCAGATGCAATGCAACTGGTCAAACTACTCGACGTGAGGCAAAACACAATTTATTTAAACATTATAGTCAAAATATAAACAAAGAAAGACGAATTTAGAGTAATTTAACTATTAGAAAACTTAACCGAATAATAGTTAGGGTACCTATTACTCATTAACTGTTCCAATATAGCAAACACACTCCTTGGCAAAAAGGCAAATTCAGACACAGATTCTCAGTGTTCCAATTCGGGGGGGCAAAAAAAAAACACATCAAGAGAATATTCACAGAAAGTAGCAGCTAAGAGACACTCACTGAAGCTTCCAACTCTTTCGAGACCCCAAAGGCTTCTGATGTTACTGAAAAAACCAAAACGCAGAAATCTGGATCTGAGACAGCTGGCCACATCCAGGCTGCTTCCATTGTTCCAACTTTAAATAAAATCCCAATGCCTCACAAATTGTTTACTTTCTTAGAGTCAGCTCGTCAGCTCTGCCTTACATCTCTTCAAAAACACAGGACAAAATAACCTCTTAAAGTGACAGCTGCATTACAGTTTGTCCAAAGCACCATCCACTTTCTCAAGATGTGGAAGTTCTTTAATGCAACAAGTGATCTGACCACCATTTATTCTTCAACATAAAAATATTTTATCATTTTCTTGATGCTGTTTTTGGTTAAAAAAAAAAGAGGCAGCGCTGTTTGTCCACCCAACTAACAAAGTGTATCCTGCTGAAAATACACATGGATATGAATCAGGTTCAGTTAAGATGCAAATAGCCTGGCAATGTTGAATATTTGAGCAAAGTACAGATGACCATATAGGAAATTATTTAGATGGAGCAGCGAAGAGGGTAGGAGAAAGGCTTATTCCTGGCTGCAATACAGATTTCATCCTTTCTATTCTGTTGAATTATTTGTTCACATTAAATGTATGATTACATAGCAAACAGAATGAAAATGTTTGAATATCAAACCACACAATCATCACTCTTTACCCACTTCAAGTAAATATTCAGTAGCATATGACATGGGAGAGCATCACTGGTGAATAATGTTAATGTAGCACACAAACAGCAACAGTTCTTACCAGGTATGGAATAGCAAGTTCCTTACAGCTATCCTTTAGAAAGTCCAACACTTTGATTCTTGGTAAGTTTTCCACCTCAGGCAGATCCTCAGTAAATATCTAAACACAGACAGAAAACTAAATTCCAACCAATATGATGATATATTTACTGTATTACTCACAACTTCAAATTTTGTTGCAAACAACACCTTTCCTTTCATGTCATACACTGCCCCATCTACAGCATCCCCTTCGTCATGCTGCTGTAGGTAAACAGTTCCCTCTTGCCCACAAATACTGTTCCAGGTAGAATCAAATATCAGCTTAATGAAGAGCAAGCATATAGAAAGGTGCTTAGCTCTTGTGGCACAGTGGTTGAACTCCCTCAAGGCCTACCTGTAATAGCATCTCTGAAGAGTTTGATTCAAAATCTACAGAAAAGTGCTTGCAGAATACTGATTAATTGATTGTAACAATTCAGTTTTGATACTTAGCTGAACATAAAACTTAAAAGAATATTTTGAATTGTACCTTTAACCCATCTTCCGGACATCCTTTTAGGACCCAAACAGAAAACTCAAAAATAATATTCAAGTTCTCTTTCCCTAAAAAGAAACAAAAATAATTCAGGGCATAGAGATATAAAGAACAGTCTCACCTACAACACCACTGAAGTGTTGACTGATCAAACCCAAAATAACAGAGCTTCAAATTTACTGGTGAACCTCAAATGAATGTCCGAATCCTAATGGTTTCAAAAGCTTTCCACATCAGATTTCCTAGTTATCACATCTCAGTTTTTATATATGCTCATGATTAATCACTAATGCTGACAGTTTTTCCCTTGCCAATACAAATGAATATCAGAATCTGAACTATAGATGCTCATGACTATGCATCAAAACCATTCCTGATCTATAACTCTACAAACATACTATACTGAATCATGATCAGTTGTAGGGTTCTTTACTGTAGCTGCTAAGTATAGAAACGAATTCTAACAATAAAATTTTGCTTTGTCTCTGATTAGGTAACTCACCATAATGCCATAATTAAGTGTCTTGCTTATTTGGTCAGTGTCTTTATCAACTTATTTGTGAGGATCATATGAGGAATTGTTAGTCATTGTGAGTATTACGCGAAAATAGGAATCATTACTAACCCAGTCGTTGGAGGTACTGCACAGTTCGCTCATGGCCTTTTAGTGGTGAATTGGCTTTCTTTGCCTGATCTAGGAGAACCTGCAGGGCTACAATGGGAAACGGAAAAGTTCTCATCAATAAAGAAGAAAGAATGCTGGATGCAGAGCAGCCACAAGAAATTATTTCACGACATAACATCACATTAATGTTAAAATAAAGCATTTACAAGGAGAGCACTAAGCTTGTATATATTTGTGGAGAAAACGTTAAGGGGTAATCTAATTGTGAGTTTAGGACCATTATACAACTGCCAGTATAATGCAAGAAAAATGTGACGGAAATCTTTTCTTTCGGTGAGGACAATCTACAACAATGGGACAGAACAGTTGAATTAGAACCATGGGGTTGAGGGATGATGGGAGAAGTCACTTCCTCTTACAAAAGGTATCAGAAGTCTGGTACTTTTTTCATCAGTCCCCTCAAAAAAGCTGTTGAGATTGGGAGTCAATTGAAAACTCTAGAACAAAGATTAACAGGTATGTATTCAGAGAAGGTATTAAGGGTTAAAAATGCATAGAGAGTCAAAACAAAAAAGATACAGATAATCAAACAGAACAGTGGAATAGAGCTTGAGCACTGAATGGCCTCCTCTTGCTTCTAAGTTATTAGAATAGGAAATAGAACTACAATGAACAAAGCAGGACACCTTTCTCATGCAGACCCTTCTTTTCATACAGAATGATCAGCTCGCTGTATTTGTGCGCTTTCTTCAGTACATGTTCACTCTCCTCAATGTGACAGTGATTGTTCTCCAACCGTAACAGAGGGGCCACAAGTGCCACATTCGTCTGAAAGTAAAACAAGGAGCAAGAAAGATCACAAATTGTCAGCTGCATTATATGTAGAGAGGATTCGCCTCCACTCCCATTTCTCATCTACATGCAGGACTTCTTCAAAACCCTCCAAAAATAAATAAGGAAAACCTTTATTCACTCAGAGGATGGCAGAAATCTGGAACTCACTGCCTCTAAGGATGATAGAGGCAGAAACTCTCATAACATTTAAGCAATATGTAGATCTGAAAACAGCAGTTGCTAGAAATCACAGTGGGTCAGGCAGCATCCATGGAGAGAGAGCAAGCTAACATTTCAAGTCTAGATGACTCTTCATCAAAGCTGACGCGAATGATAGAATGCTTGCACTGTGGAAACATGGCATTCGGCCCAATGAGTCCACACCGACCCTCTGAAGAGCATTCCACCCAGACCTCCTCCCCTACCCTATACCCCTGCATTTCCTGTGGCCAACCCACCTAGCCTACATATGCCTTGTCACTATGGGCATTTAGCATGGCCAATCCACCTAACCAGCACATCTTTGGACTGTGGGAGGAAGCTGGAGTATCTGGAGGAAACGCATGCAGACACGGGGAGAATGTCTGTGTGGAGTTGCACAGTCACTACAGGGTGGAATCGAACCCAGGTCCCTGGATCTGTGAGGCAGCAGTGCTAACCACTGAGCCACTGTACTGCCCACAAGGAGGGGGCAGCATTTATGCAATAGTGTGGGGATAGAGAGCTGGGGGAGAAAGTATGCAGATTAAGTGTTCAGAATGCCAGAATGGCAGAAAAATGGTGTGCCTAACTGCCAAACTGGAAAGAACAGACAGTCCCACTGGAGTTGCAGGGAGTGAGACAGAACATGGTGACAGAGAATGCAACAAGTAAGGCTAGAAAGAAAGGGAAGGAATGGGAGTCGGTTCACAATCTGAAGGTGTTGAACTCAATATTAAGTCCAGAAGGTTGTAAAGTGCCTAGTGTGAAGACGAGATGTTGTTCCTCCGGTTTGTGATGTGATTCACTGCACCATCGCAGCATGCCGGGGACAGACAACTGGGCATGCCAGAAGGATGCAGTTTTAAAATGACTGGCTATGGGAAGGTCAGGGTCATGACCAGGCGTGTTCTGCAGTCACCCAGTCTGCATTTGGTTGCTCCAATGTGGAGTAGGCTACATTGGGTGCAGTGAATGCAATAGACCAGATTGGAGGAGGTACAGGTGAAATGCTGCTTCACCTGGAAAGACTGTTTAGGCCCTTGGATGGTGAGCAGGGAGGTGGAGAAGGGGCAGGAGTTGCACCTTCTGCGGTTACATGGGAAGGTGCCGTAGGAAGCAGGATGGTGTTGGTAGTCAAAGAATGGACTAGGGTGTCCCGGAGGGAATGGTTCCATATAGGGGGAATAAGAGGAAGATGCGTTTGGTGGTGGCATTCTGTGGAGTTGTCTGAAATGGCAGAAAATGATCCTTTGAATGCAGAGGCTGGTGGGATGAGAAGCAAGCACATTTTGGGGAACAAACTGTCCACTGCCACCCACTACAAAGCCAGTGAGTCATTTCGATACCTTCACTATAGCTCTTCACACTCCACATCATGTAAGGACTCCATACCACTCTCCCAGTTCCTTCACTTACGTCATATCTGTTTAAATGATGCCACCTTCTAAAACAGGACTGCTGACAGGGCTTCCTTCTTTTATAACTGTGGTTTCCCGCCCACTGTTGTTGACAGGGCCCTGATCCACTTTCACCCCTGCTTCTGCCCTTGCCACTTCCCATCATTTACAATAGCATGATCGAGTCCCTCTTGTCCTCACATTTAAAGCCTCTGCACTTAAAAGATCAGTCTCTGCCATTTCAGACAACTCCAACAAAACGTCATCACCAAACATGTCTTCCTCTCACACCCTCATTTGCATTTCGCAGGGACTGTTCCCTCCGGGATACCCTGTTCCATTCCAAGTCCACCAACACCACCCTCTTTCCCATGGCACCTTCCCATGTGACCAGAGAAGGTGCAACACCCACCCCTTCACCTCCTGCCTGCTCACTATCCAAGAACCTAAACAGTATTTCCAGGTGAAGCAACATTTCACCTGTACCTCCTCCAATCTGGTCTATTGCATTCGCTGCACCCAGTGTGGCCTACTCCACATTGGAGAAACCAAACAAACACAGACTGGGTGACTGCTTTGCAGAAAACCTCCGGCCTATAGGCAAGCATGACCCTGGCCTTCCCGCAGCCAGTCATGTTAACACTGCATCCTGCTCACGTGCTCCAGCAAATCACAGCTCAAACACCTTCAGATTGTGAACCCACTCCCATTCCTTCCTTTCCTGTTGCATTCTCTGTCATCACGTCCTCTCGTCCTCTCTCCCGCTCCAGTGGGGCTGTCTGTTCTTTCCTGTTTGGCAGCGAGACACACCACTGTTCTGCCATTCACATTCCGATCATTTAATCTGCACTATCAGCACCCTTTCTCCCCCAGCACTCCATCCACCACTGTTACATAAATGCTGTCCCCTCCACATTTCACATCAGCTCTGATTAGGAGTCATCTAGACTGAAAATGGTAGCATGCTCTCTCTCCATGGATGCTGCCTGAACTGCTATGATTTCCAGCATTGTGTGTTTTCAGTACACATTCCAGCATCTGCAGTAATTTGCTCATAAGTAGCATTTAGATGTGCACTTACGAGGCATACAAGGCTATGGGCCAAGGGCTGGAAAATGGGATTAAAATAGTTACTTGGTTGTTTTTGACAGGCATGGACATGAGGGCTGAAGGGACTTTATCTATGTGTAGATTTCTACAAGTGGACAGTTCCACATTTTTGCTGGCAAACTTCTCTCAACTCCTCCACTGCCTGTGATGTATGTAGCATGCTATTTGTATAATATCCAGCACTGGATGAAGATGAATTTCTTCTCATTAAATGTTAGGAAGATTGAAACTAATGCCTTTGATTGCCACCGCAAATTCCACACTGGGGCATTTGACTTGATAATGTGACGAGCTGCTGACACCATGTCAGATTCTTCATTATCAAAACCATCCACGTCTGATCCTGCCTCAGCTCATGTACTACTGAAACACTCATGCATGCCTTAAATACCCTCTAGGCTTGAACTATGCAAACAGATTCTTTGTCAGTTTCCTACCTTCCACCTCAAACAGTTCATCCAAAACTGTACTGTCTTTATTCTAACTTGTACTATAGTCAATTCATCCCTAACCTCCGTGCTCGCTGACTTACATAGATGTCCAGTCCAACAGTGCCTGGATCTTAAATTCACATTCTTGCACCCAAATTCCTCCATAATCTTGCTCTTCTTCACCTTTGTAACCTCTTTCAGCCTTACAGACGTTTAATATTGCTGCATTCCTCCAAATATGGCCTCTTGTGCATCCCCGTTTTACCAGTAGCAGCAATACCGCTTGCTTCCAAGTTCTGAAAAATATTTGCTAAACGTCTACATCTCTCTCGACTCCTTTAAGATGCTCCCTAAAACTGATCTCATTGATCAACGACTGTGCAAGACTCCATAATCACATCAAATCTTTTTATCACCTGTTACTTATGAAAACTACATAAGTAATCATAGGATACTGCTCAGGGCAGTCATCCTCCCTAGTTCATTAGGTACTGAGTGCAATTTTACAGGGCTATTACTTGTATACCAGTTTAGCTTCAGCCCAGATTAGGAATGAAGCCAAAAACACCCTGACCACAAAGATGCCAAGAATGCTGCATAAACCAATTAAGTAATTTGAGAATTTTCTTGTTAAATAATCATACCACATACAAGAAGCAGCACCTAAAGCCCGCCAATGAAAAGGCTTTAACAACAACCCAACTGCATCACATTCTGGTGTTGGTACATTTTATAAAACAGAGAATAGATTACATTGCATCAACTGAATAATCAGGAGTTGGACTACTATCACTAATAAAAACAACAACAGGTCCTAGATCACTATGATTGAAAAATCTTCTCCACATCTCAGTGCAAAATGGCTTACCCGATACACAGAGATTCTTTGTTCTTGAGCTCCCAGTCAGGAGAAACATCATCCCTGCATCCTATCTATCCAGCCCTGTCTTAATTTTATACATTTAAGCGTGATGTTCTCTCATTCTTTTAAACACCATTGAATACAGGACTAGTCAACCCAATCTCTCCTCCTTTGATTCCTGGATGACAGATTTGTCAGTGATGGACCATCGCTGCACTTCCTCATGTCAAATAGATCTTTTCTTCGGTAAGGAGATCAAAACTTCACAATACTCCAGGATGTGGTCTCACCAAGCTTTAGTAAGATGTTCTTGCCCTTGTAATTAAATCCTCTTGCAAAGAAGGCCAACATACCATTTGTTTTCCTAACTGCTTGCTGCCTCTGCCTGCATGCCGTCAGTGAATGGTGTACAAAGATACCCGAGTAGCTTTGTACATCACTTTTCCCCAATCACCATTTTAAAAATACCCTGACACTATTTTTTAAACTTCACACTTATCCACATAATAATCGGGTCTATCCATTCACTCAACTTGTCTAAATCACCTTGAAGCCTCTTCACCTTCTACTCACCACTCAATTCTGTCTTATTTTGTGGTCAAACGTGGCAGTATTAAATCTGACTGCCATATCCAAATTGTTTAAATGCATCATGAATAGCAGGGGAGACCAAGTACTGATGCCTGCGGTACACCACTTTCACCACCTTCTACTCCAAAAAAAGGACTAATTTATTCCTATTCTGCTAATCAGTTCTCAATCCATACCTAGTATACTGTCCCCATTCCATATACTTTGATTTTCGGACACACTCCTCTTCTGTGGAACTTTACATTAACATTTCTGAAAATCTAATTACACCTCATCATGACTGTACAGCAGGTCAGAGAGAACCTGATGTCAATGTATGGTTAAACCCGAAACACTACACTGGTGTTTCACACCGTTCCTCCTCCTCTGACCAAAAAAACTGGCTCTGTCAGGAGGACAACT